GCCCCGGCCCCCTTCGTAACCACCGCGGCGGGCTCCGAGGGACTCGGAGCCGTGACGTCGGAGAAGCTCCCGGGCAGTCTGCAGTTGGGGCTGTTACTGCTGCCGGGGGGTCCTGGCCAGTCGGCCCATTACGGGCCCCAGTTTCTCCCAGCCGCGTTTCCAGCCGCGCAGTAGACTTCTGTGGCAGGCTTTCTTAATGCGCTGGAAGGAGGGCGGGAGGGTCCACGTCCTCAGGCGACGATTTCCTCACCCGACGGTGAAGTTTCTGCTGGGAAACTCCAGGTGACCGCACCTCCTCCCAACAGTTCGCCCGCGGGCAGGTGCCTGATGCGTCAGAAAAGCAGTTATGCAAAATCGTTGGAGAACAGCCTGGGCTGAGGATTTTAAACCAACTTCTACTGATTTCCTTTCAGTTATTTCTCTTCAAAGTTTTTTTATTTCCAACGTGTTTTAATCAGTTGCTGCAGCCAATGAAAACCATGCAGATGGAACGGTGGCCGCTTTCGCGGAAGGCGACCAACTGGACCTAGGGCGACCTCAGTCCCCCTCCGCACGCGGGCGTGTGACCCTCTGCCAAATCCTGAGCGACACTCTAGGCTTACAAAGGTGAAGGTCATGGCCCTCGAGGAACTCAAAACTGCAAGAAAGAGCACAATGAAGTGCAAACTAACTTGTGATCAGCAATGACAAAGTATGGCTTTGGGTAGGTGGTTTTAGTTCTCAAGAACAATTTCATCTACTGTGTAGTAACAATGATACTGATGTTGCAGGATTGTTAATAAGCTTCCAGATAATGTATGCCAAGTGCCTGATACCAAGAGTGACACTCAGTAGGCACTCAACAAATAGTTATTTGTTTATTAATTGCACTTATTTAATGCACTTTTCTTTTGTACAAGTAAAAATCTGACTTCAAATGTAAGGGAGTGATTCACCTATGAACTGCTTGGTGTTTTACAGAAGTTTTTTTTTCCTGTCTTGGCTCTTCTCCGCAGGAACATACAGGAATCAGTCCACCACTTAAATACTCCAGCAGTTCTCTCTTACCTCCCACTTCATGAGTTTCCCCCTAATTATTGAGTCATCCCATCACCATGAAATCATGTCCTTTCTCCCACCTTAAAAACAAAAAACTCTCTTGAAGCCGCTTCCCTCTCCAGCCACTTGCCCTGTTTTCCTGCTCAGCCACAGCAAAACTCCTTCAAAGAGTTGTTAAGAAAAGCTGTCTCCAAGTGTTCTCTTCCCATTTATTCCAAACAGGCTTTTGCTTCTGCTCTGTCCCCTAGAACTTCTCCTGTCAAGGTCAAACTACTAGATTAAAAGTTTTCTCAGAGCTCATCTCACTTGAACCATCAGCAGAAATGAACTCTTTCTCCTCCTGGAAACGATTTTAGCTGGACTTCCACACCGTTTTCATGTTTTTTGTTTTTGTTTTTTCCTACTCCATTGCTTGCTCCTTTTCAGTCTTCTTTGCTGCTCCCTTCCCTTCTCCCAGCATCTGAGCAGTGGAGTCACCGGAGTTCAGACTTTGGACTTCTTCTCTATCTACACACACTCCCTTGGTGACCTCATCCTGTCTCATGGCGCTAAAGACTACCCATGTAGTAATGACTCCCAAATTTTGCCTCCAGCCTGACCATCTTCCCTTTAACTGCTTGCTCCAGTCTACTGCCCACTTAGGGACTTCTCCTAGGTAACATTTCTGACACTGAAATCCTGAAATTCCTCCCTCCATCTCCCTTTGCCAACTGAAGTCTTCCTCACATCAGGCCAAAAACCTTGGTGTCATCCTTGACTTTTCTGTTTCTTTCACATTTCAAATCCAATCCATCAGAAAAATTAATTTTCAGCTCTACTTTCAAAATAAATCCAAAATTCAACTACTTACCACCTCCATTGTTATTACCACCTAATTTACCCTCATGTCTTGACTTTATCCTCACCCTATTTCTACTTTTGCCCCCATGCAGGCAGTTCTCAACACACAGCCAAAGGGATCCTTTTTAAATATGGGGACAACTCATATCCCTCCTCTGCTCAAAACCCTGCAATGATCTTCATCTCAATCAGAGCTAAAGTTAAAAGCTGTGGAATGGCCCAGAAGGACAATACGTGATCTATCATTCTTTGACCTCAGCTCCTGCTTCCCCAACTTCCCTCACTTAGCCACTTCCACAATGGCTTCCTCAGTATTCCTGGACCAGATTCCTAGATGAATGTGCTCCCATCTCAGGGCCTTTAAGCTCGGTGTCCCTTCTGCCAGAAATTCCTCCCCCACCCTTATTTATCTGCAAGGTTGGCTCCCTCACTTCCTTCAAGATGCTGCTCAAATGTCACCATGTTCCTCAGGCCTGCCCTGACCACATGATTTAAAATTAAAAATGCATTCCCCACACCAGTGAGCTTTCTTCTTCTTCTTCTTCTTCTTTTTTTTTTTGACAGAATTATCACCACCTATCATATTAAAAATGTATTTTTATTATGTTTATTATGTAGACTCTCCTCACTAGGATGTAAGTTCTATGCAGGCAGGGACTTTTGTCAGCTCTCTACAGTGATTTATCCCCAGTACTCCTAGAAAGATGCCTGGCTTGTAGTTGGTGCTCAAGAATGAATGTTTTTTACTCATACAGCTTTACAACAACAACAACAACAGCAACAACAACAAAACAACAACAACGTAATCCAAAAATGGTCAGAGGACCTAAACAAGCAATTCTCTAATGAAGACATGCAAATAGCCAATCGGCACATGACAAAATGCTCAATATCGTTAATTATCAGAGAAATGCAAATCAACCCCCCTCCAATTTGTGAAACAACTGTTTGTACTATAGTTATCTTTAATATTATGCCTAGATAAAGAATCAAGAAATGTTTATTTGTGGAGTGCAATGAAAAAGATCATTGATTTTAGAGTCATGGAGACCTGGGTTTAAACCCTGACTCAGCCCCTTTACCAGTCAAGTAATTTGAGTGTGCTGTTTACCTTCATTGAGAAATTTCTGTTCTGAGAAATGGGACTGATAACACTCAACTCATATTTGTATTAATTAATGTGATAATGTAGGCATTCTTTTCACAGAAGATAGATAGCACCCAACGATTACTCAAAAGTGTAGTTTCTTTTTTAAAAAATTCTTTTCTTTTTCAGTGCAAATGGTATATATTTAAGCTGTACAACATGAATATTTGATGAACGTACACATAGTGAAATGATTGCCATGGGTAAGCTAATTAACATATCTTCTCACATAGTGATCTTTTTTGTGTATATAATGAGAACACCTGAAATCTGATCTCTTATCAAATTTCCAATATTCAACACAGTATTAACATTAGTCATCCTGTGGTCACATTAGATCTCTAGACTTATTTATCCTTTAACTGCATCTCCCCATTTTCCCTATCTCCCTGCCCCTGAAAACCACTTTTTCACACTCAGCGTCAGCATCTATGTAATCCACTTTTTTTAAGTTCCACATGTTAGTGAGATCAAGCAGGTGTTTTTTTTTTTCCTTTCTTTCTGCATCTGGCTTATTTCACTTTGTATAATGTCTTCATCAAAAGAGCCGTTTCCAACCACACTTGCCCTTCTGTGGAACTGTTGTCAATGACATCAACCATTGAGTTGTACTGCCTTCTAGAAGTTGAGTTCCACTTCATAAACTCCTTCCTGTTAGAATTTAATACTAAGATGAAATTTCTGTCTCAAAAATATCAATGTACTTTCATTTCTTAGAAAAGATACCTTCATTTATTTTCATATTAGATTTGCAATCATTGTTAAGGAGAACTGTATAAACCAAAGTTTCCCTTTGCATCCTGGGTTTAAGAAAACACAGTGTCAAATTTTCTATTAAGTTATTGTGCTATTATAAATTACAATTTAAAATATACAGTAGTCCAATTAATGTATAGTAGTACAACTTGATTGTACTATTATAAATTATTAGATTTATCGTACTAAAAAGATTTTGCTCCTTACTCTTTTTTTTAATGTCTTCAGTGTGTTCTTATTCCAATAACCTTATTGGATACTTGGATTTTACTCTATGTTCTCATATACATTAAGTATAAGTAACACATTAGCTCTTCAAATTAACACTAGAAAATTAACTAACATTAAAGTGGAAATTTATTCCCATATGCTGCTTTATGTTCAAACTTTTGTGAGATTGGTTGTCTAATTATGAGAAAAATTTCAATACATTTGGAACGTCTGATTAATTTCTGCATCAAAGTGTTTCTTTCTGTCATGCCCCCATGTTTTTTTCTGTGAGTTTATATTGGAATCAAGCAGGAAAAGGATGCTGGGTGTGTGTGTGTGTGTGTGTGTCCCCTTAGATTAACTTACCCTGCTGTGTTTATCTGGTTTACTTTTCTAATCACTCGAGGAACCTGAATTGGTCTACTTTTCCTGCATGGCAGACCTAAAACAAAGAGTTTTCTTTGTGGCTTATCTGCTCACCAGAGAAAAAAAGAGTGCTCTATCTGTGGTAATCCTTGATACTGCAGGGAACTCAGTTTCTCTTCTCCACTGCTCCTCTTTAATTTTCCTTTCATCTGACTTTCGTTATCCCATACCTTGAATTCAAATTCACCCTTAGTATAATATATTACTAGTTTATTTATGTATTTGGTGTTTATTTTGGAGCCATGGTTCTCGGGGATGTTTGAATTGATGTGTTGGATATATACAGACTTCACTGCGCTGGAGACTTCTGACAACTCAAAGAAGGGACCAAGGTTCAGAATATGAGGCCTGTTAAACACAGAGGCAAATTCACTAAGGCATTTACTCTGTTCCACACAGCATGCCCAGATGGGTGGGAAGTGGAGATTAAAAATAAGACATTTGTTGTGTGTCCATGTATAAGGAATTTACTGCCAAGCACATAACTGTAACATGATAATGTAATTAAAAAATAAAGGGAATGATACAAATGAGTTCAGAGAGGGAGTATCTCTGCCTGATGGGCCCACCAGGGCAGACATCATGTGTGGCCTTCATATTGAAAGGAAGGCCTTGCAGCAGAGGAGACAGCATGAAAAAAGCCAGGGGCAGGTTGGGAAGCGGTGAGTAATGCAGCCTGCCTGAACCCACAGTACGTGGAGGGAGGCTCTGGAGATAAGATCGAGGGAGCTGGGGCCAGCTGAGGAAGGGAGAGATGGGACCTCAAATTTTAGATTTCATGTCTAATACCATTTTAATTATGTCATTTCCTTGCTCTAAACTTGCACTGGCTCCTCCTTGCCTGAGAAATACAGGAAAAGCCAGCAGCTTTATGGGAAGTGGAAACTGATTATATAGGGCTAGGATGAAAGAGAAAGATGAGCTCCAGCCACAAAATTTAAAGATTCCAATAAAGGGGTCCAGATTCTGTTTCCTAACATGTTAAACAAAGCTATCAATCCAAGACAAGTCTGCTCAATTGAATTTTCACTAAGGACGCAGTTGAGATACTGAATCTCTCTGCCCACTGCTGCCTGCCATCTGTTTTTCCATCTCAGGATGACCCCATAGTTACAGATCCTGATTTTCACAGAAGTAAGTATGAAACATAGGTTTTGGCTATTAGGTCAAGTGTTGAACTGGAAATTCAGTGACTTAATATTCCAGTGAACCAACTGTGTCACCAGGGACTTAAGGCTACTTGCTTGACCTTTTTTAATGTTTCACATTATGGGGATAATTTCTCTCAGGGTTGTTGTTAAGAGAGCTAATAAAACATTACCATACAGCACCCAGCTCTGACTAGAGATTTAACGTCGGTGTTCAAAAAGTTCTAAACTGTTGTTTGAGCATTTGTTTCTAAGATGCAGATAGTGATGCTATGACCAGGACAGTTCTTTTAGACTCATTTGAATGTCTGGCTATTCACAAGAACTACGCATTTCTGTGAGTTACAGACACGTCTAAAGAAGACAAGCAAAGGACATTTACTGTGTTTCTCAAATGGGAACAAAAAGAAGCTCTGTTCAAAAGGTCTTTCTCTTATTGTTCATCTCAAAATGATGATTCCCAAGGGATAAGTATTGTATTTATCAGACTGACATAGACTCTCCAGAACTTTAACATGGGTAGACGGATACACTATACCTTTAATGTTAATATTAAAAGTTAGCTTTATAAAAGGCTTTTCAACCCAACAATTCCCAAGAAGAAAGTTACAGGTATGGAAATGAATTTGCTAGTCCAGAAGGCAAATATGGATATGATTAAAGGGTGCGTTTCCTTCCTCCTACCCCACGCCTGCTGGCAGGCCTTTCTGCGGCTCTCCCTTTGGTTCCTCTCCCAAAACCCCAGACAAGGTCTGAGGACCCCAGCAACTGAGTGCTGGTAGAGGGAAATCACCTAATAGCTTTTCATTCCTCTAGTCTGTTGGGCACTGATAGGTAATGTTATCGAGACAAGCCCTGATGTGGTTTATTGCTTTCCTGTCACACAGTCTAGTTCTGTCCTGCATCTTATATGGCTCCCAAAAGTAATCAAAGTGACTAGGTGGAAAATTCCAGGCAATTTTTAAGGATCCATATGGGTGGAGGGCAATGTTACTTCCAATGAATAATTCACTGGTAATTAGTCTTCAAAAGAAAATTTTCTCTCTCATGGGCTATTAGCATTCATGTTAAATTCCCTATGACCTCGTAAATAGCTAAATGCTTTGATCCTATTGGAAATATCAATCCCTTGTTTTCCATTACAACTGCCCCCACCTTCAGTACAAGGAAGGAGGGGAGCGGTATGGGGCAATTGCTGAGGAATTACTCAGTATTTGAAGCCTGCACTTAGGGCGCAGATGTGATGGCGGGTGGGACAGGAGTAGGCAGACATTGGAATTATAAGCTTCTAAATGAAGCCTCTGTTCTCAATAACACTAATTAAAATTTGTAATTATTTTATTTTATTTATTTTTTTATTTCTCATTCCCTCAACTCCCTCACTGCTATAATTCTAAGCTTTGTGAGATCAGGGACCCTTTAATGCTGTTCATCACTGTATGCCCTGTGCCTCCCACAGTACTTCATAAATGACAGACACCATAAAATATTTGTTGAATAATTGTATAAATTGGTCTTGAGAACTGAAAATCTAATTTCATCACTTCAATGCTTAAGAATTCTTCAGTGACTCTTCCAAGGCATTAGGATAAAATAAATCCAAAATCTTTGGTTTAGCATTAAATAAATAAATGAAAAGTAAGTCATCTGGTTATTCCAGATTATTTCCCCAGCTAGTAGCCTATGGTTCCTTCCACCCTCTCCCTGCAAGGAGGAGAAGTTTCAAACAAAATAAACGACCTGCAGTTATTCCCATGTCATAGTCATTCACTTCTTTCCACATAACCAGCAATAGTCAGCTCAAGGGGTCATTCATCCCAGAAAGCTTTTCCCACCTCCCTCCCTGGTCTTGGTTAGATGCTAAGGTACTTCATGTTATTGCATTGCAACTCTTCTGTTTTATCTTCTACCTCTGCTCAAAATTTAACCTCCTTCAGGAAAGAAGCCTGTGATGGTTAATTTTGTGTCAACTTGGCTAAGCTATGATGGTCAGCTGTTCAGTCAAACACTAGGCCAGATGCTGCTGTAAAGGTACGTTTTTAGGTATGATTCACATTCAGATCAGTAGACCTTGAGTAAAACAAATTACCCTTCATGACGTGACGGGACATCATCCAACAGTTGAGACTTTAAGAGCAGAAGATTGAGGTTTCCCAAAGAAGGAATTCTCCTCAAGACCGCAACATGGAAACACTGTCTCAGTTTCCAGCCTGCTCTCCCCTGGAATCAGGATTCAAGGCTGCAGAATTAACTCTTACCTGAATTTCCAGCCTGTGGGCCTGCTCTACAGATTTCAGACCTGCCAGCCCCCACCATGTGAGACAATTCTTTAAAATCTCTCTCTCTCTCCCCCTTTCTCGCTCTTCTATGTATATATCTACATTTACATCTCCTATTGGTTCTGCTTCGCTGGAGAAACTTCACTAACACAGGAGCTTTCTATTTTAACTCCTGTGCATAAAACTTAGCACAATAAGTAAATGGAGAATTAAATCTATCTTGAAATCCCTTAATAGAAGAGGACTTCACAGTGCAGAGATGATCAGCTAATACAAATGAGGTTGACTGAACCAGGTCCCCAGCAAATCCCCGAGCACCGCCCCTGCCCCCTGATAACTAGATCATCTGACACATAATAAAAATTAATAAGGAGAATATACATTTTATGAATCCATTTATTTTGTTTGGAATTCTGGGGACCACATTACAAAGATTCCATCCAGCACCACGAGCCGTGTGAATAAAAAGCAGTTGGGTTGGTGTCTCGTCCCTCTGAGAAGGGAGACAGCAGGCTCAGCTGCTCTTCTAGAGCACCTAAAACTTCGTGCCTTTCTCTCTGCATCCCATTCCACTCCTTTTTATATGGGCTTTGACTTTTGAGTGACTGATGAGTCACTGGAAAAGACCTCTCCACACCAGCTGCTTTGGCCTGCCTGTCATTCAGTATCTGGTCCAAACAAAACCTCAGCATGTCTTCAGTGGGGTAAATAAGCATGTGACCAAAGCTCCAGGCTAGGATTGACAGCCTTGGGGTATTTTCCTGGTGTTTGCTGGATTCCTGGGCTGGGAACTGCCAAGTCATTCCTAATATGCACGGCGGAGGGTAGGTACTCATAAATATTTACTGAATACCCCTGAGAATGAAGTGACACCAGGAGGGTTCTCACCAACATGTTGTCCATCACTGACTCCATCCTCCTGGGTCTCCTCTCTCTGGGCATTATCCTCCTCCATCAGGGTCTTCTGATGAGTCTCAAAGGAGAAACTGGGATTGATGTCAGCCTGTGCTCAGCAAGAAAAGAGAGGTACCATGAGTGGGAAGCTGGAAGCTGAGGTGACCTCTGAAAACTGAAGGTCAACAGAGCTGACATCTGGAGAATACTAACTGCTACTGAATTTGTTGAATACCCACCACTGAATATCCTTTAGAATGACAAAACTTAAACACCATCACCACCAACCACCACCACCAAAAGCACACTTTTGGCTAGAATAATTACAGGTTTTTAAAAAAATGATGATGGCAAACAAGCAATGGGCAATATTCAGACCAAGAGAAGAATCAGTTTTTCAGTGTAGTTATTTCTGCTTGAGGTTTGTTGTTGCTTGTTTTCTATTTTCATCCCATGTTAATTGTTTACTAGTCATCTTGTTAGACATTATGCCTTTGTTACCTCTTTTTATTTTATAAAATCTCACATTATAGGAACAGAAACCAGTGTCCTTGTTCTTAAGAGCTCCCCAAGGAGCTCCCGACTTTAAGTCAGGCCTCCGCAGCTCTCATCTGTTCAGTTTTCTCTGCAGACTTCGTGGTGCCTCAGGCGATGGTATGGTTCCACCATCATATTAGGGCTCCCATTTGTTGTGTACTTATTATACCAAATATTTCTCATTTCATTTTCACAGTGACTCTTAGACTAAGTATTATCATTCCCATTTTACAGATGAGAAGCCTGAGGCTCAGGAAGAATAAGAGAGTTATCAAAATCACATAACCAGTAACATACATTACCTCATAAGATAACAACCCCCATCTCCTAGTCAAATGCTAAAAAAAATCAGAGTTTGTTTACATGGTTCTTAGTGTATTAGGGAGGATGGATTTTAATGGTGGCAGAATTGGAGGCAGAAAGACCAATTAGAGGTCTACACAGTACTTCAAGGGAAAGATGTTAAGAAACTAAACTAGCACATTTGTTTAAGATAGCAAGATTCAGGCTGTGATATATATGGGAGGTAAAGGTCATCAGGTCAGGATGATTTATTGGTACTGGGAGGTGGGTGCAGGGGAGAGTATGGTATGAATCTGGATAAGTGGTAGATGATGGCACCATTAGATAAGAATGGAAATACTGGAAGTGGAGCAGATTTGGAGGGAGTAGGGGAATTTGATTTTGAACATATTGAGTTGGAGGATATCTGCAAATCATTCAAGTGAAGTGCAGGGTAGAGATCATGAGCCAAGCTGGTTTATAGGCTGAGGAGAAATAGAGAGGGAGACAGTAAAGATCTAGGAGAGAGGAGAGTAAGTGATGGAGCAAGTTTCTGGGAGAAGAGAGAGAGGATGAGGTCAAGAACCCAGCTGAGGGCTGGCCTTGACCAGAAGACATCTTCCTCGTCTTAAGAAGCTGGGTGGAGGAAAGGAGAAGAGGATGGACGCCCATGTAAATCAAGAGCTGTGTAGCAGGAAGAGTTTAAGCATTCCTCATTTTACATACTGACTCTCTCACTTTTGCCAATGACGTAGAAGGCCAACTCTCCATGGGAAGTCTACCACTCTGAATATTTCTGTAGGAGATAAATACTGAAATACAGACTTCAAAACTTGAAAAACTTTTGTACTGCAAATAATACCCAGAAAGAGAAAAGACAATCCACAATATGGGAGAAAATATTTGCAAATTATATATCTGATAAGGGACTTGTATCTAGAATATAAAAGAACTCTTAAAATTCAAAATGGTCACAGATCTGAGTAGAATTTTTTTCCAAAGAAAATACACACATGGCCAATAAGCACACGAAAAGATGCTGACATCATTAATCATTAAGGAAAAGCACATGAATGCCACAATCTGACACCAGTTCAGACCCACTGGGATGACTATGAAAAAGACAGATAACGGTGCATATCGGCATGTAAAATGCCACTTTGGAAAACAATCTCTCAGTTCATCAAAAGGTTAAACACAGAACAGCAATAAGACTCAGCAATTCCACATATAGCTATTTACCCCAAAGAAAGGAAAACATATGTTCACATATAACTTGAATACAATGTTCATAACATCATTATTCATAACAGCCAAAAAGTGGAAACAACTCAGATGTCTGTCCTTTAACTGGTCAATGGATAAATAAAATGTGGTATATCTGTACCATGGAATATTATTTGGCTATAAAAAGGAATGAAGAACCGATATACACTCTGACATAGATGAACCTTGAAAATGTTATGTTCAGTGAGAGAAGCCAGTCACAAAGGAGCACATATTATATGATTCTGTTTATAGGAAATGTCCAGAATAGGCAAGTCGGTAGAGACAGAGTAGCTTGGTGGTTGTCTGGAGCTGTTTGTGGGGGACATGGTGGAGGAGGGACAGGGAGGGACCACTGATGGGTATGGGGTTTCTTTTGGGAGTTGATGCAAATGTCCTAAAAGTCGATTGTGGGCAACTCTGTGAATATATTTTTAAAAATTGAATTTTACACTTTAAATGGATGACTTGTATGCTATGGGAATTTTACCTCAGTAAGCCATTTTAAAAAAACAGAAATTTGAGGTCTGAGGAAAGGATTACTGACAGAGGCAAGAACTGAAGAACACTGCTGAAGACCAGATATTAATAATAACTGTCATTATCTCTGAGGATTCACACGCCAGGCACTGTGCTAAGTGATTCACCTGCATTATCTCCTTTCATCTTCACCACAAATCCACATATATTAGGTATACTTCCCTCATTTTACAGACAATACAATTAAAGCTCAGAAAACGTAAAGAACTTGTTCACGGTCGACAGTGAGCAAGAGACAGACACAAAATGTAGCCCCTCATCTGTGTCCGTCTGGAGCCTGTTTCTTAATACCCGTACTCTTGTCTCTCACAAATTTTGCTTTTCTATTTGGCTTCATCTTTCTAGGTTCAGCACAAATGCCAGTGTCTTTATGCCGGCATCCCCATAAGTCTGTGTCTACCATTCTTTGAGTGTAGACAGCCTTTCATCTCTGCAATGCTAATAAAGAGTCACAAAATAAGTGCATCAATAAATTAGCACTCTCTTTACTTCCTCCACACTCAGGAGTCCTAGAAGCATGACCACTGCTCTGTACTGAGCGGCTTCCCAAGCTTCAGAACACTGACTAAGAGATAAAGTAGCCAAGAGCTCTACCCAGAGATAATGCTTCTCTCCCTACTCCTCTGTTTGGAGAGGTTATGGGTGAGCAGAAAGGAACAAAAGCCAATCTCATCTCTTAGATAATGGAGACAGAGCACACACCCACGCCCCTCTGGAGCTGGTTCTCTCAGGTTTTGAGATCTTGCTGCTCTCCACCAGCTTTCCTCACCTATTAACTGCAGATAGACCTAAATTAGTCCTCACCATGTAGCAGGCATTCAAGAAATTTTATCTTCCTTTTCCATTCTTTTCACAGTCCCTCATCCCATCCCCATGGGGCTAGAACTTACTGTTTATATCCAAGCATCTAGTCTGGGGTGGGGTAACTAAAAGAAGAGGCAAAAGACGAAGCTGGCTCGCCGAACTGGTCTACCTAATCTCCTCTGTGCTCGGTAATCATAGCAGAACGCTGGGACCCAGTTAAGCTGAAACGCTAAGTGTTTCCTGAGGAAACTATGACATCTGTTTACATATATCTTAATGCCATGTGAAAAATAATATAAGAAGCAGCAGAAGAAAAATAGTTCTTTATAGTAAAATGTCCCAGTGTTTTTGTGGCTTAGATTGTGCCAGGCATCGTACTGGTCTTTTTTTTTCAATTGAGGTAACATTGGTTGGAAGCATTATACACTTTCCATGAGTACATTATATTTAGACTTCTGTGTACACTGCAGTGTGCTCACCACTGGAAGCTTAGTTTCCATCGGTCAGCATACAGTTGACCCCCTTCACTCATTGTGCCTTTGCCCCCTGGTAACCACTACCCTGTTCTCTGCATCTGTGTGTTCGTACTGGAGTCTTCACAGACATCATTTAGTCCTCACACAGCCCACTGGGGTAGGTTCTCCTGTCGGACAGATGAGAAAATACAAGGTAGAAGAGCAGGAATAATTTCTCCAAGATTATTCAGTCAGGAAGGGGAGGGAGGCAGGAACTCCGCAAAGGTCTGTGTGACTCTAAAGCCAGGTCTCTCTGTCTTTCCGTGACACCGCCCCCCACATCCTTTCTGTTGTCACCAAGCCCCGTTTCATGGACATTGTTTTCCTAAAAACAGTGTGAAGGAACATGATTGTAACACGTAAATATATTCACAAGCAGTCGTCCTACATCACTGCAAAATACTAGATTAAATATTTAAAAACAGAACACAATGTCACATTAAGAAACTGTACCATGATCAAGTGGGATTCATTTCTGGAATGTAAGGATGATTTGGTGTTAGGAAATCTATTAATATGAACATGACACTAGTAGATGTAAGAGTAATAATCGTATGATTATTCTGTGGATGAAAAAAAAAGCTTTTTGAAAGAAATTTCCTGAAAAAATCACTGAAGAAAATAGAAATTGATGCGTATTTTCTAAAAAGCCAGACTTGTGCTTATTGGGGGTAATATTAGAGGCAATTCTAATAAGATTAGGAAAGAGTCAGGAATGCTCACTATCTCTGTTACTATCGGCCATTGTTCTAGACATATTAGTCCGCACAATTTAAAAAGAGAAAGCAATAAGAGGCCCACGAGTTGGAAAAGAAGTAAAAACTATTTTGGGGCGATCTGGTAGTTTACCTAGAGAACCAGAGAAAATCAACAATAAACTAACACAGACAGTAAAATTAATGTACTCTTTTTAAAATGTTAAAGATAATGTTAATTTTACAATAATTTCAGAGATACTTTCAGAAATAATTTCAGAATAGCTTCAGAAAAGCTACAAGAATAGCACAAAAAACAATTCTTTCTGGAATCACTTGGGGATAAGTTTTGAACATAGTGCCCATCATTCCTGAATAGTTTAGGGTGTAACTCATCAAACAAGGCCATTCTCAGGTAACTGCAACATAAGGATCAAAATCAAGAAATTATCATTGACACTTACTAACACTG